AGATTCCTAGAATTGGGGATTATGTCACAGTCTAGAATATGTTTGTTGTTTACAGTAAAGAGAAGGAAGAGATGAATTAAAATTTTAAAATAATCCAGAAATATCATTCTACTCAGTTCCAAGTTTGTCTTTCTCCCAATCTTTTACTGGAGCTACTTACCGCGAAATTGAATAGCCTAAGTTTGATGTTTTCTTCTGTATTATCTTTATTTGTTCTCTGAGAGATAAAACTAGTCACTGGCAGCCCAAAGGATAAAAAGAACAAGATGGAGACAGGGATGCTCCCAGGTTTGAGAGGGTGTAGGATGAAGTCACTTCTGAAGCTTCTAGAGTGGTGTTCTGTCATCATTACCCCAAATTATCAGAAGTTTCTTACACAAAATGGGATGCTCAGTGGATTTGTTCTCTGTTGGTACCATAACCAATTACCACAAACTTAGCAGTTTAAACACCCGTTAATTATCTCACCATTCTGTGGGTCAGAAGTTCAGGTGTGGCGTGGCTCAGCTGGGTCCTCTGCTAAAAACAAGGTGTCAGTTGGAGACTTCGCAGAAGATTCTACTTCGAAGTTTATTCAAGTTTCTGGCAAAATTCAGTTTCTTGTGATTGTAGGATCAAGGTTACCTTTTCTTTAACAGCGGCCCCCTTTATCTTCAAGCCGACAATGACATGTCAAATCCTACTTGTGATCTGAATCTTTGACTTCATCTTCAGCCTGAGAAAGATCTCTGCTTTTAGGGGCTTATGTGATTATCCCTTAAAAGGGCCAGTCAAATAAGCCAAGATAATCTGTATTTTAAAGTCATGTGACTAGTAACATGAGTTACATCTGCAATTTCCTTCTGTATGCAACGCAACATATTTATTTGAGTAACACTAGAGGGTAAAGGTCTACCACACACTTGGTAAAGCAGAATTTGGTATGGTGACTTTTCTCATGGAGGAGAGAAGCTGGAAGAAAAAGTTTGGGGCTCTGCTATAATTCACCAACTAGTGTTTTTGCAGTATCAGTACTGACTAGATTTCCTTCCTTACATCTGAAAAAAGTTTTCTAGAGTGCATATGAATTAAGGAGGGAGAAAAACCCCTTGGCTAAGAGATTTTAGGTACTGGTGGGGGTGGGAAGCAACCAAGCAAGCTAATAGACAAGTGATATGCATAACAAGAAAACACGGGGTCAGAGAATCAATGAGGGGGAACACACAACCCTATTCTCAGAGTCAAGCTACACAATCAAGAAGAGATGTCAGCTAATCCAAGAACTAAAGGATGAGTAAAAGTTAATCAGCTCTCCTGACGTCTGTCTTCAGATCACACGATTATTTATCTCCCAATGTTCATTTCAATTGAGAAAGAATTCAAAGAAGTAGAAAATCAAACACTGGTCATTGAATTCATGTTTTTAAATTTTTCCAAGCACCCTGAATTACAAAGGCTGTTCTTTTTGTTCTTCTTGGTCATTTACCTGATGTCTCTTCCGGGAAATGCAGTCAGCGTCAGTCCTGCCCTCTATACTCCAATGGGTTATTTTCTTAGTAACTTCCATCATTCCGGTCATGAGGGTGAACTTCTTCCTTACGAGGGCTGGCTTTCCCAGATCTTCTTCCTTGTGACGTGAGACAGCACTGAGGAGGTTTTGCTGGCTGCCACGGCTTATGATCACCGTGTGGCCATTTGCCACACTCTTCAATATAAGCTCCTAATGAGTGGGAAGGTTTGTGTTTGGTGACTGGGTTTTGGATGTGTGGGCTGGTGAATTCTGGGACACACACAGCACTGACAGCCACACTCACTCTGTGTGAACCCAACCCCATCAGCCACTTTCTCTGTGCCATCCCATTGCTCCTGAAGCTCTCCTGCTCATACACCTCTGTCAATGAGTCTGTGTTCCACGTGGCCAGGGCCACCACTGGCCTGAGCCCTGCCTGTTTACTGCACTGTCCTACATATCATCTCTATCATCATTAGGATTCCCTCTGCTCAGAGCAGGAGCAAGGCCTGCTCTACCTGTGCCTTCCACCTCGGATTGTCTTCTTTAGAACAGACCACTTCAACTATGACAGGCCCGGAGAAGGGTGCTGCCTGGACACAGACATCCCGGTCTCTGTGCTCTTTTGTGTTGTGACCCAGTGTTGAACCCCATCATCTACAGCCTGGGAAACAAGGAGATCAAACAGTGAGGAAACTGACAGGCAAACACAACTTCTCTAGTGAGGTCAGCGACTAGATAATGTTTCCCATTCTGGAAAATGTCTTTTTTTTTTTTTGAGAAGCAGTTTTGCTCTTGTTACCCAGGCTGGAGTGCTGTGGCGTGATCTCAGCTCACCGCAACCTCCGCTTCCTGGGTTCAAGCAATTCTCCTGCCTCAGCCTCCCGAGTAGCTGGGACTACAGGTGCGCACCACCACGCCCAGCTAATTTTTGTATTTTTAGTAGAGATGGGGTTTCACCATGTTGGCCAGGACGATCTCGATCTCTTTACCTCGTGATCTGCCTGCCTCGGCCTCCCATAGTGCTGGGATTATAGGCGTGAGCCACCGCGCCCGGCCAAAAATTTCTTAATTTGAAAAAAACATGAACATTCCAGCTGCTATTATAAGAGGTCACACTCCACATAGCGTCTCTTAACAATTCTGATGCCCCATCCCACCAGGACAAACAATCGTATCTGCACTGAGAATTTGACGCATTGTGATCTCACGTGCGTTGTGTTCTCACCAATGAACTGATATGTTAGAACATTTTCTTCATCCCCAAAAGAAGCCCTATACCCTTTAGCAGCCACTTACCTTTTCCCTAAAAACCTTCAACTTTAGGCAAAAAAGTGTCGCTCTGTATACTATTTAATTCTTTCAAGATCTGGATTCAGAACTGTCTTATACCAAAATCAGAGCCACACTTTCTTATTTCAATTTGTTTCTAAAAGTTTTTCATTATGTGGTCTACTTTTCATTTATTCATCTTCTACGTTGCTGCATGATTTGCAGCATTTGTTCTGTGTTGATTTCTACATTTGTAAGGCTCTTCTCTGAATGTGAGAAACGGCCACTACGATCCCACTATTCTCAATATGTTTATACTTACTAGCTTAGTACCAGTGTATGTATTTACATTTCTAGGTTGAATTGCCCAAAGCTCATATCAGACACACTATTCCCCAGTGATCTCCACCTGGCGGGTCTCAGACTTGTCACTTTGTATCTGCCCACTTAGGCATGCTGGACAAAACCTGGACCCTGGTCACATGGATTCACTCACACCGATATGTTCAGCGAGCTGAAGCCCAATTCTGACAAACAAGAAGTAGAAGGCACATTAGGTGAGGTTTTTATGTAAATAATTTTAAAGTTTTACAAAGGCTAAACTGTCAACGTTTACCTTTGCCAATCACTTTATTACTTTAGGGCTATAGCCATGTTAACTCTACCTCACTATCTAAATGTCCTTAAGAATCTCAAATTCTGTATATTTCAGAAGATTTCAAGATTTTCCTCCAAATGTATTCAAATTCTATGTAAAAATTCTTATTAATAATATCAACTTTCTAGTTTTCTTTTTTTAAAACATATATATATATTTTATTGCATTTTAGGTTCTGGAGTACATGTGAAGAACATGCAGGATTGTTACACAGGTACATACATGGCAATGTGGTTTGCTGCCTCCATCCCCATCACCTATATCAGGCATTACTTCCCATGTTACCCCTCCCCAACTCCCTATCCCCCACTATCCCTCCCCTAGGACCCCCTCACAGACCCCAGTGTGTGATGCTCCCCTCCCTGTGTCCATGTGTTCTCATTGTTCAACACCTGCCTATGAGTGAGAACATGCAGTGTTTGATTTTCTGTTCTTGTGTCAGTTTGCTGAGAATGATGGTTTCCAGATTCATCCATGTCCCTACAAAGGACACAAACTCATCGTTTTTGGTGGCTGCATAGTATTCCATGGTGTATATGTACCACATTTTCCTTGTCCAATCTATCTTCAATGGGCATTTGGGTTGGTTCCAAGTCTTTGCTATTGTAAACAGTGCTGCAATGAACATCCATGTGCATATGTCTTTATAATACAATGATTTATAATCCTTTGGATACATACCCAGTAGTGGAATTTCTGGGTCAAATGGAATTTCTATTTCTAGGTCATTGAGGAATCGCCACACTGTCTTCCACGATGGTTGAACTAATTTACACTCCCACCAACAGTGTAAAAGTGTTCCTATTTCTTCACATCCTCTCCAGCATCTGTTGTCTCCAGATTTTTTAATGATCACCATTCTAACTGGCGTGAGATGGTATCTCAATGTAGTTTTGATTTGCATTTCTCTAATGACCAGTGATGATGAGCATTTTTTCATATGTTTGTTGGCCTCATGTATGTCTTCTTTTGAAAAGTGTCTGTTCATATCCTTTGCCCACTTTTGAATGGGTTTGTTTGTTTTTTTCTTGTAAATCTGCTTTAGTTCTTTGTAGATTCTGGATATAAGTCCTCTGTCAGGTGGGTAGATTGCAAAAATTTTTTCCCATTCTGTTGGTTGCTAGTTCACTCTGACTTTTTTTTTTTTTTTTTCTTTTGCTGTGCAGAAGCTCTGGAGTTCAATTAGATCCCATTTGTCTATTTTGGCCTTTGTTGCTGATGCTTTTAGTGTTTTAGTCATGAAGTCCTTGCCTATGCCTATGTCCTGAATGATTTTGCCTAGGTTTTCTTCTAGGGTTTTTATGATGTTAGGTCTTATGTTTAAATCTTTAATCCATCTGGAGTTAATTTTAGTGTAAGGTGTCAGGAAGGGGTCCAGTTTCTGCTTTCTGCACATGGCTAGCCAGTTTTCCCTACACCATTTATTAAACAGGAATCCTTTCCCCATTGCTTGTTTTTGTCAGGTTTGTCAAGGATCAGATGGTTGTAGATGTGTGGCATTGCCTACAAGGCCTCTGTTCTGTTCCACTGGTCTACATCTGTGTTTTGGTACCAGTACCATGCTGTTTTGATTACTTTTTTTTTTTTTTTTTTTTTGGTAGCAGGGTTTTAAGTTTTATTTTGCACTCCATGGCCCTCCAGACAGTGATTTGAATGATTAAGTGAAACTCTTCTTAGGTTAAGTGTCCTAGTCCATGCTAAAATCATCTTGTTGGTCTCTTCTGCGCTTCAGCGGCCAGCATCAGCACCTTGCATGTCCTCGCTGCCTGCCACCTGCCTGGCCGGGTTGTGGGCAGCGAAGGCAGTGAGCATTTCCAGAGCAGTAGGAGGGTCGCCGGGCACAATCAGGAGATACAGGTCTCCGAACAGCACGTCCACACAGGGCCGGGAGCCCTTGTGCCTCATGTCCGCAATCACCGAGCAGCTGAGATTAGTGGAGCGGACCCTCTTGCTGCGCACCGCCTGGAGGAAGGTCCTCATTGATTCCACGTTTTTCTCCAAAGGACACAATTGGATTCGAACCTGCTTGACAGCGCACAGACCAAGCCGCCCCAGGACAGCCGCCAAGGTGACCTCCACTCAGGCAACTATATTTCTTAAGAAGAGTCAAGCGGAGCAGTGGGAGTGGAGAGGGAACAAAGAAATCTATAACTGGTTGTGATCAGTTAGTTGTAAATACCACTATACTTGGACCAACCATTAGGCAACTGTTAATCTACTTTATGTCTCATGGATTTGCCTGTTCTAGGCATTTAACATAAATGGAACTATACAATGTGTTATCTTTTTAAGACTGGCTTCTTTCATGTAACATAATGTTTTCAAGTTTCACCCATACAACAGCATGTTATCAGTACTTCATTCCTTTTCATACCAAATAGGATTCCATTGCATGAGTATACCAAATTTTATTTGTCCGTTCATCAGTTAATGGACAAATAAAAATATGTGAAATATTTTATCAGATGCTTTTTTGTCACCCAGGCTGGAGTGCAATGGCACGATCTTGGCTCACTGCCACCTCTGTCTCCCCCATTCAAGCAATTCTCCTTCCTCAGCCTCCCAAGTAGCTGGGATTACAGGCATGCACCATCACACCGGGCTAATTTTGTATTTTTAGTAGAGATGGTGTTTCTCCATGTTGGTCAGGCTGGTCTCAAACTCCAGATCTCAGGTGAGCCACCTGCCTTGGTCTCCCAAAGTGCTGGGATTACAGGCAAGAGTCACCGCACCTGGCCTCATATGCTTTTAAGGGGTAGATATATCTGACACTGGGTACTGTTCTTCTCAATTGTGAGAAATAAACTACTGGCATATAAACTTAGCATACCTTTATTTATGGCAAATAAATAAACCACTTACCACGAAGTCTCACTGAAAGGCTTGGATTTCTGGCTTTGGGGGTGAGGTTTGTGCTCCCCACAGTACTAGGGAGAGAATACTCTTTGGTACCACTGGCTACTGACCCCCATGCATCATGAAGGGGACCTCCATTCCAGGAGCTGCCTACAGCACAGCCATTGCCTAATGCAAAATCACTCCACAACTCATTCTTTCAGGGCCATGTACAGACACCTGTGGACTGTCCTTTTGGGAGTTGGTGTTTCCACTTTTTGGATTTTACAAATAATGTTCCTAAGAACACTTGTGTGCAAGTTATTAGCGGACTTATATTTTCATTTCTTTAGGGTATGTACCTGGGAGTTGAATTGCTGGATCATATGGCCACTTCCAATTTCTTCACATCCTCATCAACATTTGGTATCTGTCTTTTTCGTGATAGCCATCTTACTGAGGAAAGTGGTATCTCATTGTTTTGATTTGTAGTTCCTGGATCGCTGATGATTCTAAGGCCTTTACTAGGCACCACCTTTGGGCTTCTTCAGATCTGGAAAATCCCATGTTGTTAGGGGATTTCTGAGCTTTAGACACATAACTCTTAACAGTGTGTAATGTTTTTATCTTAATTTTGGTGCAGTGAAAATACTGCAAGATTTTCAGACTCGCGCCTTCTCCCCATCTGGGCCCTACATAGATGTTTGATGGTTCTGCCTTTTTCCCCCAAGCAGTGCCATCACCAGGTCATGAGTAATGGCAGGACCAAAAATCAGGGGCCACGAAGGTCTAAGGGGTGCCAGTGGGAAAGAAAGGAAGCACTGCATGCAGGGGGCAGCCCTAACTAGGAGCCCCTTAAAGCTAAGACAGCAAGCATGCTGTAGTACTGTAGCTCCAGTTACACATCCCTCTGGTGGGGCAGGTGGCATGAAGAGGCGCGGTCCAAGCAAAGCCCATGGCCATGGCCACCAGAACAAACAGAGAAAACTCCCTCATGTGTTGTAACATCCAACGAAATAAGCCCACATCCATGCACACCCTTTCACTCACCAACGAGGAGAAGGAAAAGTCTGTCTTTCAGGCTTTAGCCACCACAACTCCTGAAAACAAATCCAGTACCAAACTCCATTCACAAATGTCCCAAAAGAGAGAGAAAGCTCATCGTCTCATTGCATTCTGGGAAAAGATGATTGTCACGACCTTAATGTACCCAAGAAAGAACCAATTGCTCTTCATTTCTACATTTTCTGATCAAGCTGTTGCCCTTGAGTTGTGTTTGTACTTGGAGGAATCCCAGAACATCTGCTTAGAGAGAGATTAGATGGATACCCCCCAAGGACAGTCCACAGGCGTTTATACATGGGCCATCCTGGAAGAAAGAATCAGGGAGTGATCAAAGAGGATTTTTGGTTCCTGTGTTAGGCAATGATTATGCTGTAGGCAGCTCCTGGAATGGCAGGTCCCCCTCATGGTGCATGGAGCTCAATAGCCAGTGGTACCAGAATATTCTTTCTATAGTAGTGTGAGGAGCACGAGCCCCACCCCCAAAGCCAGAAATCCAAGCTTTTCACCAAGACTCAGCTGTAAGTAGATTATTTATTTATCATCAAACTTGAGAAAATCTACCCAGTGTCAGGACAAACCTACCCCTTAATAACATATTGTATATTGTGCATATTTTATTACCATTTTGATAGCATTTATGCAATGACATATTTTTAACATCTTCTCTGTGTGTATACATTTCTACAGTACTACTTATAGAATCAGAATAGAACTTACTTTAGAAATTATCTGCTCCAGAATCTAAGGAATGTCTGAGTGATTTAAGTGAGATAATATAAGAGAAAAATTTTTCATGGCATAATAGAAAATGCAAAGTCTTAGTACCCTATTTTTGACAAGCAGGATAGAAAGGAATAATTTTCTGGGAGAAAGCATAGGGATATATTTCCACTATGATATATTACAGTATAACAATAGGTACAGACAAAATAATTGTTTAATGAAATATGATTAAATTTATACAAAACATATAACTGGAAACGTATTTATTCATTAACTAGGGGCTCTCATCTTTACGTGGCAACACGTTGATGTTTGGGGAGATGTGTTGCAAGCAATTTATTGACTGTAATAAAGCCTGGAAACGTATGAATGATTCATTTTACCTATAATCCTTTTTATTACAAATACATATCTTAAATTATTTGTAAATAATTGCATTCCCAATCATTTGACTTCGAGATTATTGATTGATTGGGAAAGAAAGAAGCACAGTTACTGCTTGCTGGCTGGGAACTGAGCAGAATGTGCCATGTGGTCTCCGTTGGAGCCATTGCTCTTACAGGGCCATGGTGCCACATTTATGCACCAACAGGCTGTTCTTTTCCTCAGGTCTCTAAGATGTTTGCACCAGAACGGTTGAACAGAAATGTCCCCCAGATGTCAGCTGAGATGCCTCTTCTTAATCTTTCTCTGTAGGTCTGACTAAAGTGCTGGATTTTATATCTTTCCTGTTCCACTGACTTCCACCTGAGTTGTTTGTGAACAGTCTTTGAGCCCAAGCTTTGGGTCCCCATTCAGCTTCAGTAGACAGGGAGTTTGGATGCCACTGGGAGCATCAGGCTCTGTGATGCCAGGGTCAAGGACCTGAGGCACCTTCTCATACACAGGGCATTGGAAGCCAGTCCTTCTCCACTCTGACGTACATATTCATGAGAGGGGCTCCGAATTTGACAGTGGCTTTATGCTATATCTGGCATAGTCTTGGGACGACTGCAATTTTCTTTGAGACCCCTGTAGAGTCACCCTCTCCTCAAAATTAACACAGGTTAAGAAATGCCAATCTATGTCATGTTTCCGGCAGAGAGAGATGTTGAGAAATATGTGCCCAATAAATACTATAGGCTGTCATCATGCGGCTGATAGGGCAAATATAATTGATGGGAAAGTAAACAGTCAATAATTTCATCCTTCTTTTAATTCCAATAAATTCATTTGGTCAGCCTTAACATTAACTTTTGCTTTGACTTGTCTTGTTTTCTCATTGCTGCTGACTGAACTGGTTCCCAGGAGATTGAGAAGAGGTAGGTACTTTCGCTGTTTGTCCTTTTCGCTCTTTATTGTATGGAATTACGGAATGCACAGAAATTGGGAAGAGTATGGCCTTTAGAGTCAGATGGACCTGGGTGAAATTCCACACTCTAATATAGTAACCAGGTAGCTTTAAGCATCAGTTTCCTTACTTGCAAATCTTAATAAATACCTACTACATAAGGTTGTTGTGCATGAGACTGTATGTGCAAAGCACCCAGTGCAGCTCCTGGTACTTGGTAAGTACTTAATAAACAGTAACCACCATTATATTTGGGGCTACCATTACTGTCAATCACAGGGCTACGTAGGGATGGAAAGAAAGCTGGGATTGCTTGTTAAGCAAATTTCTGTTATTTGGTCAATCATACACATATAACGCACTGTGAACAGTGGTGCTGAGCAGAGTGTTTTCTGAAAGGGGAGATATTCGTTTACATTTTAGGTATTTTTTACTTATGTGAAATTTTTCAGTATGCATGTGCTACTTTTGAAATTTTTTATTTTAAAAAATATATAGGGCCGGGTGCGGTGGCTCACACCTGTAATCCCATCACTTTGGGAGGCCGAGGCAGGCAGATCATGAGGTCAAGAGATCGAGACCATCCTGGCCAACATGGTGAAACCCCGTCTCTACTAAAAAATACAAAAATTAGCTGAGCGTGGTGGTGTGTGCTCATAGTCCCAGCTACTCGGGAGGCTGAGGCAGGAGAATTGCTTGAACCCAGGAGGTGGAGATTGCAGTGAGCCGAGATTGCACCATTGCACTCCAGCCTGGCACCTGGCGACAGAGCGAGACTGTCTCAAAAAAAAAAAAAATATATATATATATATATATATATACACATAGGAATAAATATATATAAATAAAATATATAAATCAAATTCCTATATATTTTTTCATTGTAAAATTGAGTGGATTGTTAAATCCACTCAAAAGATCTTCACTTGAGACATGAGTTAATCTTTTTGGCAGGAGATGCAGCAATCCAGGCTCTATGTGATTAGCTCCAGTAGTGGTATCTCATTACTCACTATATATCATAAAGATGCTTGCTTATGTAGTCTAAACTCAATTAACAAAACAAACACACTTCAATTAGGTATAAATGTGGAGATTTCAATTCAATATGTGAAGTGGATGACCAAGAAATCCTTGGAAT